TTGAAATACATGATTCATGAGACTTTGGAACGATGCTGGTGCGTTTCAGAGGCCAAACGGCATAACTAACCACTCATAGAGTCCTTGGTGAGTTCGGAACACCGTTTTTGGGCGATCTTCCAGGTTGATTAGAATCTAGTGGTAACCGGAGCACATATCAAGCTTAGAGAAATAGGAAGCACCGTATAATTCGTCTAGTAATTCATCGACTGTAGGGATGGGGAAGCTGTCTTTAATAGTGATGGAATTTAAAGCCCGATAGTCAGTACAAAATCGCCAAGACTCGTCTTTCTTTTTCACAAGTAACACAGGGGAGGAAAAAAGGCTAATGTTGGGTTGTATAATATCCTAAGTTAACATATCATTGACCATGGTTTCAATTTGTGCTTTTTGACTATGAGGATAACGATAGGGCCTTACTTTCACAGGATTACTACCTTTCATCAATGTAATAGCATGGTCCTGGAACCTAGCAGGTGGCAAGGATTTTGGTTCCTCAAAGACATCCCCAAATTGGTGTAAAATAACAGCTATATCAGTAGGTAAAATTGCTAGCAAGGCATTTTCCTGAGGTATAACCTTATCAAACTGAAGGGTAAAAGTAGTTTCAATAGCATTAGTATGGTGGAAACGTTTTATATGATGGAATTGGGCCTGAGTAGGACCCTTAGGTTGCTCCCCAAAAAGAGTCACAAAATTGTCCTTGACATAGAATTTTAATGACAACGCATTATAATCTGCTATATGTGGTCCCAGGGTCTTTAACCAAGGTACACCCAACACTAAATCAGCACCAGAAATAGGTAATAAGTAGGTAGGAATATTTAATGTGTTACCCTGAATAGTCACTGGCAAGTCAGCAATGTAGCCCATAGTAGTCAAAGAATTCCCGTTTCCAACCATCACTTGAAATTGAGCAGTAGATTGAATCGGTAATTGTAGAGTGTGAGCAATTCGAGGTTGGAGAAAATTATCAGATCTTCCACTATCCAATAACACGGTCACTGCAATGCCCTGAATTTGCCATTTGAATCTCATGGTGCCCATACCAGCAGACCCATTCAATGCATTCAAAGACAAATGATGCTCTAAAATTGTCGTAGGAGGTGGTTCCGGTTCAAATGTAGCTACTGTTGAAGTTGGTGGTTTCGATTCTTCGTCTTCCAGTTGGAAAAAGAAATAACACAACCCTTTTTCACAGCGGAGTTGCATTTCGGAACGGGTGATGTGTTTTATAGGGTGGTATTTTGTGGTTGGGTTGGTGGATTTGGGGGTAGGCAACAACGGTGGTGGTGGAGAATTTCTGGTTGTATTTGTGGAGGACGGAAAATGGTAGGGTTTGGTAGCTGGAATATAGGGAGGTTTACTTTGTGCCGATGGTGAATATTTGTCTTCAAATAGCCTAGCTAATGCGTAAGCGCGCGACAGAGATAACGACATCTGGGCGATGACATCCCATTTGATATTGGTTTTCAACCCACTGATGAAGCAATCAAGTGTGGCTTCAGGACTCAATCCTTCAGATCTGTTGGCTAACATGGTGAAGGCAGAATAGTAATCGGTAAAGGTGGTTTGTTGGGTCAATTTGAAAAGGTTGGGCCTAGCTGCTTCATACGGTGATGGCCCAAATTCCAATTCTAAGGCCTTAGTGAACAAGGCCCAAGACTGAAAAGGCTGGTTGTGAGATATCATTTGAAACCACGGTACAACATGCTTTTCCATATGAACGGCGGCGATAGTAAGACAGTGATTGTCCGGTGTATCATAATAATCAAAAAATTTCTCTGCCTTAAAGATCCAATTCATCACGTTAGAACCATCAAAACGAGGGAAATCCAGTTTAATGTGACGGACCTAAAATGGTGTATGCGGCGGCGGCGGTGGATGGTGTGAACTACTGCTGATGGAATTCTGGTTTTCATGGAGGTTGCTAAGTTGGTTTTCCAACCTTTCAAAACGGGCCTGATCTAAGTAACGGTGTTGAGAATATTCGTTATGCCGCTGGTCAAAATCATCCAGAAGCCTTTGCAGTGTCTTGCCTTGTTTCGGAGATGGAGCTTTCCATGGTTTTCATACGGGTGTTTTCAGCCATAGGGAGGACAATGAAAGCACCAAATGTAGTGTATTGATAAAAACAGAATTAATATAGAGGAAATGGTACTATAAAAACTGCTATTAAAATCAATGCAATAGTACAACTTTAAATGAGAAAATATGGCTAAGCCATTTGCAGTAACAATACAGAGGAATATAATGAAAGATAGAAAAGCATAGAAGCTTGGACAGAGAAGAGAGTCAGGTTTTCCACCACTAAATTCCTCCCTCATCATTGCCAATGATTGATCTATTTAATAAAGTGCTCAGTGTATTTTCTGTTAGGGATCTTGGGTCTCATTCCACGTCTTGGCTCCTCACAATAGGGATCAATTGCCATCTGTCCTTTCTCATCGCGTGACTTATTTACTGCAGTGACTCTTTTGTCCCTCTCATTCATAACATAATCGATAATCGTATCAAGCATTGGAGTGCCCATATGCTTATCTATGCGGGGCGGGTCCAGTTAATTAACAGTGTGATCTTTAGCACAACCAACTATTGGTTGTAGAGCATACCTCTTCCCAAGGGTGTGATTAAGAGTTTAGATACAATGTGTAGATCGTTCTTATGGACGGGAAAATGAACTGTTACAAGAAAATCTCTCATCGCATGGAGTAAGGTTTGTGAACCTCGAAGACATGGTGGGATGAATATCACCAATCTTCAGGTTTGGAATATGGCATGTAATGCAAAACTGTTGTGGAACCTCTGTTAGAAGGCCGATAACCTTTGGGTACGGTGGGTTCACACCTACTACGTAAAAAATGATTATATCATGGCGGTGCCGCTTAGCTCTACTGGTTCATGGATCCTTAAATGAGTGTTGCATATGAGGGAGAAGGTACAAGGTCTGAGGCAGTGGTACAATGCAAATGGTAGTGGTAAATATAGAACAAAGGGATTGTATTATGAACTAATGGGTTTGGGTCAGCCGGTGCAGTGGAGGAAGATAATGTACGATAATGAGGCGAGACCACAGACAATGTTTACGTTGTGGATGGCCTGTCACAACCGGTTGTCTACAAAGGATATATTAAGAAATATGGGATGATAAACGATGATGAATGCACTTTCTTTCATAAGGTGGAGAGCCTGCAACATTTGTTCTTTGATTGTGACCATTTAAAAAATATCTGGCTAAGGGTACTGCAGTGGCTCAACATAAACCATGATCCTAGGGGGTGGAACCAAGAAGTGGACTAGATGATAAATAACAGTAAGAAGAAAAATTGGAAAGCTAAATTTCTCAAGACCGCTTTTACGGAGACGGTTTACACGTGCTGGATACATAGGAATGAGGAAGTGTATATAGAGAAAGATAACAATAAATAGGATACATACACATGTTTAGATAGAAAAATAATAGATGTCATTATCAATAAGTTGTGTAGAAAATCAAAGTTACGAGAACAAATTGCTCACTTAATTGTGAGGTAACCTTGATGGTTTATTTTGGATTAATCTGTCTGTAGCTGCTGGACCCTCGGGGTCACATTGTTTTGATTTTGTTTTTGGAATATAATTTCTTATTTCTCCAAAAAAATTTCATATTCTTCAACATAAACAAACAATATAACTATAATACCAAAAACTTAAAATAAACACACTAAAATCTCAAAAGTAAAAAATTTATTATCATAATGAGAAACAAACTCCTATGTGCAAAACTTACCTTATAGTTTTAGAACCCGACTCTAATGACAACGTGTAATAGAAAATAGATAATAATGTATTCTCTATGTTTTGCAATAAAGACTTTACCTACTATGAGTGAAAATAAAGAACGAAGGAGAGATCAATTAATGTATTCAAAATGAGGTGTTTGTGGTTATGTGGAAAATGAATATTAAGGTTTGAAGAAATGAGGATTGTTTTAAAAGTATATCTACTACATACCACGTTAATATTGTTTTAATTTCAAATAAAAATAATAATTTTTTAAATAAAAAACTCGTGAACAAAACGGATCAATTTAAGACACTGAGCAAAAACCTCACCCCAAGCCACCAAAAATAATGGATTAAATAGGCAGGTCCGACGGACTCAACCCGTTTTACCACCTCTAAAAAATAATCTTCTAATATATTTTAAATAAACAAAAAAACAAAAAGTTAGTCGCATAAATATCCCTTATCATGTCACGCTGAAATTTCAATTCCATCATACACAAAAAAAACAAAACAATTTTCTTCGATAGTGCGATAGATTACTCTATTTATTACCACGAGAATTGTCTCTGCTTCAAATTCAACTTCGTACTTTTGAAGTTTGAAACCAAAAAACTACACATGATGCGGTTACGATGATGTTTCCGAATGCAATGTCACTTTGCCTCATTTTTACGTTTCCTTCATCCCAACCTCGATTTTATTCTTCAATCCATTTTTTCACCAACCCCAAATAGGTACCTAACTTACTCTTTCTTCATCTTCTTTCACTGTAACTGTGAGTATCTTTTTCATTGTTTTTCTTCTTTTCTTTTTCATATAATTTTGATTGCGTGTTGTTCAATTTATGACTCTGATTTCATTCTTAATTCAATTTCAATTTACTGAGAAAAAATTCAGTTAACTGCTGCTGAAAATTTTGATAATTGAAGATAATTGTTGTAGTTTCTGAACTAAACCATGGTAGATTTCGGTTCTGACTGGTTTTGGATCTAGATATGATGATTTCATGAGTGAGGTTATAGTAAATTTCTTATCTTGTTTTTTTCTTGTTTCTATCACCTGTTTCTGGTGGCACTGTGGACAAGGTTTTATGAGTTTCATTGTTGTAATTGGTTCTAATTCTCTAAGTTTTTCTTTCTGATTAATGATTTTATATATTATTGCTGAAAACTCCTCTGAGGAATTGTTTCGAGATAATTTGGTTTTGTTGCAGAGATTGAGTTTTTCGCCAAGATGGGTTTGTTTTTTAGTGTGGCGAGGGCGAGTAATACCAATTCGGATAAAAGTGAGTGGGATGGAGTCTCTTCGAATGAGATATGTAAGAGACAAAGAATGTCGCCTACGGTTGACGAAGAGAATCCACGGCTATTCCCTAATCTTCCTGATGAGGTATCGATTCAGATTATTGCTAGAGTTCCGAGAATTTGTTACTTCAATGTAAGGTTGGTGTCGAGGAAGTGGAAATCGACTATCATGAGTTCGGAGCTATATAAGATAAGAAAAGAACTAGGGACAACAGAAGAGTGGCTATATATGTTGGTTAAGGTTGGAGAAAATAAGCTTTTGTGGCATGCTGTTGATCCTCGGTCTCGGATATGGCAGAGACTGCCTACTATGCCTAGTGTTGTTGATGAAGAGGAATCCAGAAAGGGTTCTTCTTCTAGGCTTTGGATGTGGAATATGGTGGAAGGTATGAGAATTGCTGAAGTTATTAGAGGCTTTTTTGGACGGAAGGATGCATTTGATGAAATGCCGTTTTGTGGTTGTGCTATTGGAGCTGTTGGTGGATGTCTCTATGTTTTAGGTGGATTCTCGAACGCTTCGACTATGAGATGCGTCTGGCGATTTGATCCGATACAAAATACGTGGAGCGAGGTGACTTCTATGTCTACAGGTCGGGCGTATTGTAAGACAGGAATCTTAAACGACAAGCTTTATGTTGTTGGAGGGGTTAGTCAAGGTTCGGCTGGATTGCTACCTCTTCAATCTGCTGAAGTTTTTGATCCTTTGACAAGTAAATGGTCAGATGTGCCTAGTATGCCATTCTCAAGAGCTCAGGTCCTTCCCAACGCCTTCTTGGCCGACATGTTAAAGCCGATTGCCACAGGGTTGACATCATACATGGGAAAGTTATGTGTTCCGCAGAGTTTGTATTCATGGCCCTTTTTTGTCGATGTTGGTGGAGAAATCTATGATCCGGAAACAAACTCATGGATAGAAATGCCAACTGGAATGGGCGAGGGTTGGCCCGCACGGCAAGCAGGCACAAAATTAAGCGTCGTAGTAGATGGCGAATTATATGCTTTTGATCCTTCTAATACTATGGACAGTGGAAGGATCAAGGTATATGATCAAGGAGAAGATGCTTGGAAAGTTGTTATTGGAAAAGTCCCTATATATGGTTCTGATGATTCGGAATCGCCTTATCTACTCGCTGGTTTCCATGGAAAACTTCATGTCATCACAAAAGATGCCAACCATAATATTTCTGTTCTGCAAGCCGAGCTGCGCAATAATTTGAATTCTTCACCGTCGTCCTCCTCGACTCCGTCACAAAGTTCTTTGCATCAATTCGTGGACCCGCCGGTCGAAACCGATTCCGTAGTTTGGAAAATAATTGCAAGTAGGTGTTTGGGGCAGGCTGAACTAGTTAGTTGCCAAGTTATTGACATGTAGCTGAGAAAAAGCCAAGCAATAAATGTGACAGAAAATCTGTGAAGGGTTAGTTACCTGGTAGGACTGAGTGAGTACATTTGGACATTGATTAAGGTGACGGCGAATTGAAGAGTGCTGTTATAGTTTGGTTGGTGTACCTATTGTTTTTTTTACGGGTAAATAAGTCCTATAGGAAGGAACTGTCAGACTGTACACTGGCACACTGGCACGATAGAATAATATCAGAGAAAGAAATCCATTATTTGTCTTTTTACGTACATGCATTAAATAATAAAAGACTCTTATATTGTAGCCTCCTTCCACTATTTTTTTTAACAAGATCAGCAATCAAGCATTAGTCTACTAGGTAGATCACCTATTTTTTTTAGTTTTTTTTTTGTCACATAGATAAAATAAAATTAAAGGAAAAAAAGAAGCTATAATCTTAAAAATAAATTTAAAAAATGTTGTTCAATTTCAGGGGACGAGAGATGTGAGTCATAAGATCAGCGTAACTAGATTTGTCAAGTTTTGTCATAAAATTAACATTTTGATTGTCTACACGAAGGATGTGGATAATTTTAAATATTGATTTCAAATAAGATATCTTTAATATTTTGAATCAACTGAATGTTTATGATAATTATTGAAGGGATTGTTAATAAGGCTAATATTGAGGGATGAGTTTGTCTAACATGTCAAGTCATTAATGCGTATATTTTGAATCTAAGATATCTTTAGTACTTTGAATCTAACACGACATGTTTATAATATTTTTTTTCTAATACTATATGCGAATTTTAACTCATGCTCCTCTTAAATCTAAGATCCATTCACTTTTACTCAAACACTATCAATTGTATCAAACGTATATCATGAACATCTTCATGTATAATTTTATTTCTCCCAAGTAGTAGTTAATAATGAATGTCAGAATTTTACACAAACAAAATACACTTCAAGACTCAATTAGTCTCTCAAAATATGTGTATTCTTTTTGTCTTATTAATCTACAAGAAAACCTATCTCTTTATATAGAGAAGCCAATCCAACTAGAAATTTCATTATGATAAATAAATTCATATTATATCTAATCTTCAAGAAATTAAATCTTTCTATCATAACATATTTAATCTTAAACGGAATAAATCTTTCTAAAACAAATCATACAAATTCTGTGAAATTAAATCTTTCTATCATAACATATTTAATCTTAAAACAGAATAAAGCTTTCTAAAACAAATCATACAGATCCTGTAGTAAATTAAATCTATAAATCTTTCCAAAATTAATCATACAATATTTGGAAGACAAAATCAAAACTTGAACAAGATCCTCCAAGAATAACACACTATTGGATAAAAGAGTCAAATTGATAACTTTTGTGACATCTTACTTAATATTTTAACGATAATATATATATATATATATATATATATATATATATATATATATATATATATATATATATATATATATATATATATATATATATATATATATATATATATATATATATATATATATATATATATATATATATATATATATATATATATATATATATATATATATATATATATATTATTTTTCTTAATGGTCACATTAGTAATGATAATGGATAAAGTTTGGATAAGATACTATAGTACCCGTCCTCATATATGCGATTTAAAAAAATTCTCGTATCCGAACTCATACCTGTGTGGACACCGACATTAGTACTCGTGCCCGTACCCTATAGATAGCTAAGTACTCATACTCATATATGTTTACTCGCATTTCTAATAAAATGTTACCTATCTAGTATAGATGTGTTAAATAAATTCAAAAATATTACTAGTGAGTTAATAAATAAACTAACACTTATATTTATATTCTCACAAGTATAGATGTGTTCAATAAAATTAATAACCATACATGTATTTATAATAATAATAAACTAAAAATAAATATATATAATGCAGGTATGGGGTGGGTTGGGTACTAAAGTTCTCGTACCAGCGCCCATACCCGAATATTTTAGTGGGTAATTACCCGTGCCCATGTTCGTACCAATTTAAAGGATTTTTACCCTACTCACTGTGGATAATTTTTGTGGATACCCTATGGGAATGAGTCAAATTGCCACCCCTACATGAGATAATGACATTTTTCTGATGTTAAATGACAAGTAAAAATTATCTTTATATTTATCTCTTGAAATTCTTTTTTCTTCATGCACTTTGGAGTTATTATGATCGTTTTTTTTTCCAAGTATATATTCAAGGTTACGAGAAACACAAGAAATGGGGATTTGATTTGGGTTTTTAAAAATCAAAGCTTTTTCAAAACCAATTTAATTAACAAGAACAAGAATAATAAAAATAACAAGTTATTTTTATCCTAGTTCGTTGTTAATGAAACTACCTTCAGTCCACCCGCCAATGTGATTTCGCCTTATCAAAAGGACTTAATCCAATATAGTCAAACAGATTACATACACCACAAAGACAACTGCCCTTGTCTTCTCAAGGATACACACTAAACCCTAGTCACTCAAGGTAATCACTCAAACAAATTTGAGATTTACAAACTGTGTTTACAAGATTGATTCTAGTATGCTGATAACACAAAGTTTAGGTACAATGACTCAATAACATAGTATGAACAAAAGTTATGTGTTTTTATACAATATTCACAACAGTATCAGAGAGAAATAAAGCAGCGTGAAACAAAGATGAGAAAAATACACAAGAAGGAGAGTTAAATTGTGTTTTCTAAATCATTTCTACTTTTGAATCAGAGTTTAGATTCTAAATAGAAGTTTAGAAACTAATAACAAGTGCAGCGGAAAATATAACAGAAGTAAATAAAAATAACAAGGAGCATACAACAGTTATATTGGTTACTCTCCAACTGAGAGTAGTCGAGTTTCCTTGCAGCATAAGAGATTTTCACTATAATAAAACAAATTACAACTGCATATACCTTCAAGTATAAGACTTTTGTGCCCAGACCCTCAGCCCGAGACTTTCTTTCTTAATCACCACCTGATCAAGACTTCCTGCTTAGATTCTCATATCCTAAGACTTTATTGTTTAAACCCCTCAGGTTCAAAACATCCTTGCTTAGACTTCCACCCAAGACTTCCTGCTTAAACCCCTCGCATTCAAGACTACCTGCTCAGATTTCTTGAGTCCAAGACTTCAATGCTCAAGCCTAAGGCAAGAGACTTTTATATAAATGACTGTTTAGAGAAGGAATAACTTGCAACAACACTTGATTAACAATCAAAGGTGTTCAAATATAATACAACATATTTTAACACTAAGGATTCTTAAGCTATACAAGAATAAGAACTCTTAACAAATTATCTTCTCATGAGCTGGTACGAATGAAGTGCGTATATATTTCAGTTGTAATTACAGTGTTATTCTCTTGGTTGATCTTCAATTCTTCTGCTCCTTTTATAGTTGAAGAAATATAGTCGTTGAAGCATCTTCAACGGCTATAATCAGATCAAACCTTTTAGTACATCTTTGTTTCAATAAATTAGGTGTTGGAACTTGTAGAGAAAGAATTATCCACTGAACAATGCCTTTGTCCGGAGAACTCTTCTATGAAACAAGTACAACACAATATTTTGAAGATAATGTCAATAATTCTCGAGTCCCGTGATTACAAAGCTTGAGGAGACATTACTCATTTTCAGAGACAGGTAAAACACGCTTCTGATTCTGAAATGTATTAACGATAACTTTCTGACCAGACTCTCTTATAAGTACAAAATCAGAACCGGATCATAGCTTTTTCCGTATCAGAACGAGTTTCACCAAGTACATATAATTTTGCACATAAGAGCCAACTACATACAAATCCTAATTGTTTTTGAAATACTTTGTCATCATAAAAACTTTAGAGGATACATGGTATGAACCAAATTTGTTTCAACAATCTCCCTTTTTTTTATGATGACAACTTTAAGTATTTCAAAATAATTAGTTGTATATTAATTACTCAATAACTTTTAGGGTGTGATGTTTGTAAGCTTCCCTTGTGTCAAACACTCTTAGAGGTGAGGTTTGTAAGCTCCTCATGCGTCCTATTTGTGAAGTCTAAGAGATGGAGTTTGTAATCCCCCTATATAAAATAATTAAATCCATTTTAAGAGGTGAGGTTTGTAAGCTCCCTCTTATATAGGATAACTAAATTCACTCCAAGATTAATCAAGAACAATACTTAATCCATTCTCCCCCTTTGCCATCAACAAAAAATAGGAGAAAAATAGACTTCAATGATTAATAATGGTTTATAAACAATTCATAGCCGAACACCAGTTAGGAGCAAGTTTGTCAACCAATCCAGCTTGTTGCATATGAGCAACATCACCATGTTGATCAAGAATCATGTAAAGAACCCTATCAAAAGGAATGAGAATAGATAATTCCTCACGAGATGCAAGTATCTCATCTTTCAGATAATTGAACATGGTTTGAGGTAGACTGATATTAGTTCTGGAGACTATGAACATAATGAAATGTTTATCATCAAAAGAAAATCATCCCGATCCCTTTTCACTAGATCTTAGATTGGTTCTAATAATTTGGCACCATACTTTTGCCACAGGAGTAAGAGTGGAAGGGCTTGTAGTAGGGCCATCATTATCATAGATGTTGTACATTAGATTTATAAACCTATTATTATGTCTGTAGTTTTCAATAGTAATTTCATCCTTTTCACAATTTATTGCTTGAGAGATGATTTTAGAGTTGATCATAAGAGGATAATCATAGACAATAGAAAGAATCTGACACTCATCTAGCTCATTCTGATGAACATGAGCATTCGCCAAAAAAAATTTCACAAGGTCTGGATAGATTGGTCCATTAACCATTACAAAATATTCATCCCATTTTTGAAAATGAATATCTGAGACTATCTGAGAAAGATTAATCGTCGTCAAATCATTGAAGTTAACCGTATATTCCTTCAGAATATCTAGATCATAGATCTCTCCTTTAATAGTCTTTGAAGACATATTG